GAACTACAACTAATCAGTAATTTTGGTGGACATTAGGTACTAAGCTACAAAAAATAATCAAAAGCTTTGTCATATGTATTTTGAAAAATCAAACAGTTAGTTGAAAAACTTATTTAGTTATCCATATTTCGAGCATGAATTCTTAATTTTTAGGTACGGAAAAAACCTACTTGTCTCAATTTTATTCCCCATTCCTACTGGCGAGGAAGCATTGTAATCGCGAAAAATTTCGAACATGAGATATAATGTTTTTTGGATGTTATATGACATGTACATCACTAAAAACCATGTCAGTCCTTGACCTACGACTTGGAAAGTACTGCTTGGATTAGGATGAAATGTTTACCCAGAGTTATGCCAGGTATGAAAAAGCTTTGTAGTTTTTGAAAATCGGTCCAGTGGCGACGGAAGAAAATGCCAAAAACGAAAAAAATCACGATCCCTCATACCTTGCTTTATGACGTTTCATAGGATCCTGACCATTTATAAAAAATCAGAATGAAAAAATTGGTGAGTAGCGGTTTGTAGGGGGTGGGGAACGGTGTATCGCAAATTTTTTGGTGTTAGTAGTACATCAATAGACTCCTAACCCAGTGAACTCTTCGCATCTATCAGACATATTTTACTAATCATATATTTCCCCGTACATTTGCGCTTAAACCTTCAAACGATTGGGAAATGTTTTCGACACGCATCTCTTCTTCTACTCTCTGGCTTCACCGGCCACTGTGCCGGTCGCGTTGCCGCGTCTGGCACATCGTGCAATCAGGTATTGAGGAAAAACAACATTGCCAGATAGACGGTACTACAGGTAGGATAGGGAAATAATGCCTATGGGCTAGTTGTATGGAGGTGCTTGACGGACTTGATCCATTCGATTTCATTGTAGATATTCCGTTCGACCAAAGAAAGCCTGCCATGAACAGCTGTTTAGTGTTTTTTTGGCAACTCATCAGCATGGTCTAGGCTTGATCTCTTGAACAACGAACGGAAGCATATCAACTATCCTCTATCCAGGATATAAGAGCTATGGCGCTTTCAACCTTCTTAGTATTAAGTATAATAAAGTATTAAGTAATCGCGAAAAAAATCGAAATTGACATATTACGTTTTTGAATGATATATGCCATTGCACATTACGAAATACCATGTCACTTATTTCCGTCGGTCTGTATGTAGCTTTGTAGTTTTTGCAAAAACACGAAAAAAAAAATAAAAATCGCTTAACTTCCTTTTTTCATGTTTCTTGGGCTCCTGATTATTTACGGAATTTTTTTTGTGGGGGTTGAACCCTGCGGGTTTGAGGTTGCACGGGATAGGTGGTTGTAAATATAACGTCTTTAGTATCAGTCAACGTCGTCATATCAGTGAGAAGCATCTGATCCCGGTAACAACGAGACAATTAAATGATTAAAAGTCAGATGTTTAATGTCCTCATAATTCGTAATAACTTTGCAATCGGCGTTGCATGCCCGACGCGATGCTGCATCGTCGTGGAGGCCACTACCGACTGAGCAATGGGTGACAAGCTCCAACGGGTCTGCGGTGGTGTCGTCATTGACACACCGCTACAGGAGAAATATTTATATATTTTAGCAGTATTTCTATAATACGGGTACGTACCACTTTAGCGTTCTGCGATGCTTTTATAAATGATGACTTAACTCTTTTTATACCTACACATACAGGGTGTTTCAGTTTATTGTTGCATAACTTTAAGATTCGATAGAACTTTTAAAATTAATGCATAAAGTCTATATAAACATGGGTCGAAAAATGCGTAGCTTCCGAAATACAGGGTGTTTAAATTTACTTTCTAAAATAGTTTTTTTTAAATATTTCGAACAATATTTGATGTATAATAGTGGAAATTGGTATACAAGAGTTTTTTGGTACGATAAAACGAACCATGGGCATAGTTTTACTGTAGCCGCTAGAGGGCGCTCTCTACTGTACCTGTACTGTATTAAAATGACCAAAAATTTTTTCTTAGTGGAATTTTTTGCTTTTTGAATAAAAAAACTGATTCTTCGCACTTTTCAACATAAAAAAGCTCTCCTGTGAGTTTTCGTTATAGTTAGCCGTTTTTGAGATATTTCGATTTTTAAGGTTCGATGCATTTGTAATTATTTATGGGAAAATAATATTTTTTTTTACATTTTCGATTTGGGCATTACAAGTAATTAAGATAATCGTTTAGATTGTGTTTTTAAACACAGCAATAATTCCTAACTCCAAATAAACACAAAAAAAAAACAGAATATTAACTTGTTTAATTTTCCAATATTATTTTTAACAAATTAAATTAATTATTTACAACTAAAATGCTATTGGATAGTTAGGACAAACATACAAAATCTAAAGTAGTTGCTCGAAATGTAAACCCAATTGTTCAATACACAATTCACATCTACGAATGATCGAACGTGGTATAGCATTATTCAAATAAGGCCTTATTTCATCACATGCATTCCTGATTCTGTCTATTAGCATATCTCTTGTGGTTACCGGAGTCTGGTACACTTTTTCTTTTAGAAATCCGCACACAAAGGAGATCGTGGAGGCCAGGCGACTGGTCCTCCACGGCCGATCCATCTTTCTGGATAATTTTCGTCCAGCCAGTTTCTAACTATTCTCGAATAATGAGCTGGACAACCATCAAGCTGGAACCAGGCCAATCTTCTTAAATCTAACATAACATCATCCCACATATTTGCAGGTTCAGCCTTTAAAAATTCCAAGAAGGTCGCAGCATTTAACGTTGCAGGCAAAAGGTAGGGTCCAAATAGTCGATTACGGTAGATACCAATCCACACGTTCACACTAAATTCATGCTAAAAATTTCTTTCCCGAACTGCATGCGGATTTTCATGCGACCAAATTGTTGATTATCCAAATTTACCACTCCACGTCTAGTGAAGCATGACTCATCGGTCCATAAAACGTTTCTTAAAAACTCCCTATTATTATCAGTTCTATCAAGAATCCAATGACAAAATGTGATTCATCGTTCTCCGTCCCCTGGCTGTAGTCCTTGCACAGGTTGCAAATGGTAAGGACGTCTATGCTCATTTCTAAGAACACTGTGAACATGGCTTGCTGAAATTCCCAAGGCACCAGAAACTCTCCTAACACTTGTGATCAGATCTCTATCAAACTCACGCAGAATCATACGGGTAAATCTGCGCTGACGAAGATTTATGTTTTGATCCCTTCGGAGATTTCCAAAACCATTTTCAATTATTTGGCGATGCACTCTTACAAATACTGAGCGAGTTGGATGTCGTCTGTTTGGAAATCTTCGTGCGTATTCTCTGGCTGCTTCTGCTGCGTTTCCATTTACAAAGCCATACACAAAATGAATATCCGCTAACTCTTGATTGGAAAATAAAAATGGCATTTTTATAAAACTTACAAAAAAAACAGGTAAAAGAAACTAAATTTCGTGCATTCACAATTGCAAAAAACGTTTCAGGTTTCAACAGACAACAAAACTAACTGTCAACTAATTGACGTTTAACCTTATTCTGCTTTCAATTTCAAAAATATTTGCAGGCACAGCCTACTTCTAGAAATTATCGAGATACTGACTTTTTAACGTTACTTTATCATAAATAATTAAAAATGCATCGAACCTTAAAAATAGAAATATCTCAAAAACGGCTAAATATAACGAAAATTCACAAGATAGCTTTTTTATGTTGAAAAGTGCGAAGAATCAGTTTTTTTATTCAAAAAGCAAAAAATTGCACTAAGAAAAAATTTTCGGTCATTTTAATACACTACAGGTACAGTAGAGAGCGCCCTCTAGCGGCTACAGTAAAACTATGCCCATGGTTCGTTTTGTCGTACCAAAAAACTCTTCTATACCAATTTTCACTGTTATACATCAAATATTGTTCGAAATATTTAAAAAAAAACTATTATAGAAAGTAAATTTAAACACCCTGTATTTCGGAAATCACGCATTTTTCGACCCATGTTTATATAGACTTTATGCATTAATTTTAAAAGTTCTATCGAATCTTAAAGTTATGCAACAATAAACTGAAACACCCTGTATATTTGTCTGAATTTTATGATCTTTAAATGTGCCAACCATTTCGCCCAACCTTTAATTTGTGCTACTCTGTCTACGATGGTTCTCTCAATATTTCGTCAATTAGACTCGGACTGACAAACCAACATAAATGTGAAACGCGGACTTGTGTGATGCAGATATCTTTGAGCAACAGAAAAGTTGTGAAACGAAGTTCGAATATTATCGCGATCTTAATACTTCCATTGTTTAGGTATTCGTAGATTTTGAAAATTGATTCTGCGGCGGCGGAAATAAAATCGCTGGAACATAGTCTTACAACATATCAGAGATTCCTGCGAATTTTCAGACATTATTTGGAGGGGATGAAAATTGTAGCTTGGTAGCTGTATGCGGTAAATGGTTGTAAATTTTTGCATATTTGATGTCAGTGAAAGACTTTCTGTTATTAAGACGCTGCTGATCTCAGTGATACTATGCACCTGTTAGACATAATAAGTCCCACATTTTTTCCCTGCATCTGCCATGGAAACAGAAATATTATAAATTTGCCTTATATAGTTTGATATGCAGAGGTCGAAAGTTTGTCGTACCTAAGTCAACCTATCTAATCATGATTCGATTTCGCCTTTTGAAACGATTTGACTCATCCCTTTTCTTTGAAACCTTCGACGAAGGTGTAAGAAGTGTAGAGTCAATCTACTTGACGCCATTTTTTTCGATAAAAATAGCTAAATTCGTAATTTTTTTCGAAATTGGCATATTAAAACATTGTTATACTTGACTAATCCGCTCATTAAACTTTATCTAAATGCATAAACCATAAGCACACACTTGGATGTGGTAGAGATTTTATTGAGCTTCATTATATAAATTGCCTGACATTAAATACTCATTTTATGCTCACTCGTGGCTATGTTATGTAAAGAAAACTATTTCTTTAATTGTCGTTTTTTTCCAGATTGAAACGTACGATTGACAGGAACGATCAAAATGTCCTTCACTCCGATAGGTAAGAATATTTTTCTATGAGTGGATCATTTGAAATTTGAATCGACTATAAAAAGGAAAAATAATAAGAATATTCAAATTTTTTGTTTTCGCTGCTTTGTGTGTATACGGTGTGTTTCAAATTCGACCCTCACTATTGGAATCTCGGAAACTGTAATTCATACGAAGTTCCTTAAATGGGGGCAAAGTTGCGTATTTAGGTCATCAACACAATGTCGCTTAGAGAGTTTCGACATTCAAAGTACTTCAGGAGAGAGACGGAAAAAACGAATTTTCTCAAAATATGTTTCTCCTCTACAAGATGTCATAATTAGAATTTGAATAGGTATGACGTTTCGTCTCTTACCTCCAGCATCAACTTTATTTTTTCTTATGGACGCCATATTGGATTTTTGTACAGATGAGAATAGAGTTTGCAATTTTGATTACGTGATATTTAATTCATTGACATCGTCAAACCTTACTTATTTCAGAAAAATAGAAGTTCCTAGGTAAGCCTTAAAATTATCAGATTTTATTTCTGTCGTATACCAGACTAGATCTCAAGTTGAACATAACAACCGAGTTTGAAAGACTGAGAAGAAGAGAAAAATAAATTGACCAGTGGACAATGTATAGTCGGATTTTGCCTACAAAATAATGGAGAACATTTTGAATATCTGCTATGATTTACCTTATTTACGTAGTCGTGCCGTAAGTTCTGTCCCATGATAATCTCATGATAAAAATGAAACAAGATAAGATATATTTATATGAAAGATATTATTTATTAGACAACATTTTTAGAATTCATAATCAAACAGTTTTATTCAAAATGTCCCCCCTTGGCCTTCACACACTGCTTCAATCTCGCGGGCCACTCATCTATCACTGCACGCACAGCTTCCAAAGGAATAGCTGCCGCTGATCGGATAAAATCCGCTTTCAGGGACTCGATATTACGGTGGGCTTTGGAGCAGGCCAACTGCTCTAGCAGGTCCCACAACTTGTAGTCTAAAGGATTGAGGTCCGGACTCCCTGAGGGCCAATCTTCCGCAGCAATGAACTCTGGCACATTGCTTTCCAGCCAGCGCTGCGTACTCTTAGCCTTGTGAGCGGGGGCGGAATCCTGCTGGTAGACCCAGTGTTGGTTGGCAAACAATGTACCACTTAAAGGCTTGACGATAGGATCCAGTATGTCGCTCTGATAGTTTGCCGCTTTTGTTTTCACGCCCTGTTTACAGAAATGGAGCTGAGTGACCCCTTCGTAGGACACCCCCCACCAAACCATGACTGACGCAGGGTGGTGGCCTCTCTCAACTCTCGGAATGATCTCCGAAGCTTCCTGTGAACTCCTTGCATACACTTTGTCATTTTGTCGGTTGAATTTTTCTTCTATGGTGAAGATTTTCTCATCCGTGAACAAAATCTTTCGGAATCCCCCAGCTGCGTACCTCTCCAAGAGCTTCTTGGATCTTGTCGCCCTGATGTGTCGCAAGGTGGCCGTAAGTCGCTGGCCCGTACGTCTCCGGTAAGCCCCTAGCCCTAGGTCTTGTTTAATGATGCGCGACATCGTCCGGACAGGAATCTTCATTTCCCTGGATAGGATCTTCTGCTTCCGGAGTGGATTCCTTTGAATCCTGGCTTTTACGGCTTTGATGGCTGCTGGAGTCCTTACTTGACGAGGTCTTCCGCTTCTTGGCCTGTCATCAACAGAGGACGTCTCATTGTACCGCTGAATGGTCCTAGACACAAATTTACGCGATATTTGAAGGCCGCGTAAGAGTTCAAAAATCTGACTAGCACTGTGATTACACTTATGTAAAGCTATCACTGCAATACGGTTCTCTGCCTTGCCCCACTCCATCGTTATGCTTCGAGAGATCAATACAAACTGAGGTATATGTAATTACCCGAAAAGCGCTTAATCAACTGACACCACAATGTAAACAATCGGACAAGTATTAACAGGTCTACACTTGTTTGAAAACGAGGGACAGAACTTATGGCATGACTACGTATTGTTATTACCATAAATAAAAATTTCATTTTGTATTCAGGTTTCACCATACGTTTTTATTTCCTTAAAATTTTCATCAACAATAAATCCATGGCCAACTGAACTCAGGAATGGGTCCATTTGTACAAAATTCCAAGAAAGCGTCCTTATGAAAAAACAAAGTTTGTAATGCTCGAAGGAAGAAGCGTCGAATTGAAAATTTGACCACCCAGCATCAGTAACAATGACAACATGCAATTTATTTCGAAATCCCACCTCAAAAAATTATAAATACATGTTTTGGAAGCACTGTCGCGTCACCTTGCAGTTAGTCTTCTTTTCATTTGATTGGCAGATATGGACTTGCCTCGCCGAATACAGGAGAGGAAGTCGTTAATATGTAAAAGAAACTCTGTTACAGCCAAAATGGATCTATCGAGAATACGACCTAATCTGAGTCGTTTTCCCTGGTCGAGAAAAGGAATCTCTGCTAAAACATATACAGAAGCTTGTAAGGGAAATGTATTACTGGGTTCTTATATTCCCCAAGTTTGGTCCTAGATATCTCTAAAAGTGTTCATTAGAAAACTTAGTGCCCATGGAAACCTTTTATCAGGACATTATAGTGTACCTACGACATACTACAAACTCAGCCAATCCTACTTTTTACCATATGTTTTGTGCGGTTATTTTTGCGCTGAATAGTTATCGGCCAGCACCTGTATTACATAATCTGAAAAGTGACATATATCGATTCTTATAACATTTTTTAGGTTTTTTTGAAATTATGTAGGTTTTCCTAAAAAATATACCTATATCCTATTCCACGAGTATCCATTACGGTAGAATAACAGCTGATTAACTAGTAATATCTCAAAATACCCCATATCGGCACAGGACATATAATTCTGACCGATCCGTCAGCGTCAGGTAGTCAGAGCCGTATTTTGTTTTGGTTTTGTACGCTACAGATTCAATTTTGTACTTGCTAATAGCTCTTTTATTTAGAAAAGTTCATTTGCATACAAAAAACAAAACGCTACAAACAAGTTTCACGAGACACAAAAATGTCTCTTGTTGATTAGCTGTTGACCTCAGTAGATGTCAAAGCGTGATGGATATTCGTTAATTAGGGTATATAGTGCACAAGTTGACATTTTACAATTTTTTTTAAGGTTGTATGTGTGTTCTATCTAATAACCCTTACCTATGAGGTAACTTAAAGTGATTCTATATCGATTTTTAATGACATAATGGAGTTATTGAAATACTGCCTTCATCATTAATACCGACGTTACACTAATAATGACAAGTAGATTCAAATTGTTTCAGAATTAGAGTTATTGGGTGGTAATTGGTGTATTGGTATTAGGTTCATTTTCGTGCAATAATCACAAAATTTCTAATCTAAGAATGTGTACGTGTACCAAGACTGATTTAATTCCAATAATCTTATTAATTATAAAGTTTTGCTATTGTTTTTGTACTTCTTCGTGTTTTGGAACTCGTAGGTAAATATCGGTGCTTTTGGTTTGAATTTTACGGCCAAAGCATCCATGATTTTCACAAATTAAACTTACAATCAGCGAACAGTACAAAATAATAGCGAGAAAACGTCCTGTAATAGTGGCAAGCACTAACCTTATTAATTCCAAGTCATATTTTTGTTTTACTGCGCCTGCTCAGATGTCAAATACGGCCAGGAATTAATAGCGCCTGGCTTTATTGAACCTTCAGTAACGCCTTATTATGTAGGGTTTTTTCAGAAAATGTCACCTTGGAACTAGCTCCCATTTACTTCATATTCACTTATCTGACTGTGCGTGTTGCCCAAATGTCATAACACCTGAATTAAACCTCTGCTTCCGAAATGGCACTAGCCGAGGTCATTTATAGCTTCTATGGTTACGCTGTAAATTCTATGCTATAGGTCGTTGTTACGTTCTTCCATAGGTGGCGTTCACAGCGAGTGCGTGCGGCGTTGACTAGCGACTAACTGGTACATATGTCGACAATATACCAATTTTTAATGACATTATATCGATTTTTATGTAATACCCATACGGCAACCTCTTGATTTATATTAAGGGTCATCCAAAAAAAACTGATTTTAGAAAAATGTAATGAGAAATATCCTTTTTTCAAGGTCGTATTCCAGTACGAGCCTTCATGGGCGTTTTAATGTTCACTTGTACCTTCATCCTGTATATGATCAGAATCAACTTGTCCATCATCATATTGGCCATGGTTGAGCCAACCAGAAATAAGGACAATTCTACTTTTGTACCTGAATGTGCTCGAGACGGATATTCCAACGCTACCTTCATCTTTAATACGACGATTGAAGAAACAGTTATACATGATGTAAGTTAAAAAAAATCTTTATACTCCTAGAAGGTACTTGGTATTTAGAAGGAAATTGGTATTCTGGCACAGCTACAGCAACAGCAATAAGTTAATATACAGGGTAACTTTGAAGTTGAGTCATTAATTTTCAGATAATGATTGTAGAAGGAAGATAAACCAAAATATGTGTGAAAAATAAAAAAAAAAATAAAAAAAATGTTACCTTGTTTTATAATGTGTCCTCCCGACAAGTATTTCAGTGCGGACCTGTATTTGATCGTGCGGTCTTGGAGCACCGGCATGCCCTCCCCTGTGAGGTCTTAAGTCACCTGATTCACGAGCACTTTGTACTACATTAACAAAGGCACGAGGGGTTGGTTGCACTCGATTGGGAAACCGATCCGCATAAATCCCTGATTCCGCGTAAATAAGAATCATGTCCACAAGTTCAGCATTTTCGTAAACATGTGCCATTTTTGATTTAGTTTGAGCCACGCAACAGACACCACTATTCACTCACGCGTTACCGACTGACACTGACTGTATACAACTGAATAAAATAATTAAAAACATCGTTCCAAATTCTTTCGCTATTTTGTTTCCGATGTGATGAACCGATAAGGCGGATTATATCCGTTGTTGCCAAACACGAGCACATAATATTATTATTGAGACAGGGCGGTACTCAAACTTCCAAAGGGCTATAACTTTGTTACTTTAATTTTACCAGAAAAATGTTAAAGGAAAAAAACATTTCTTTTGATCAGATCTACTCACTGTTAAAATAAATGACTCAACTTCGAAGTCACCTTGTATATTTTCAAATGAAAAAAAAGATGTATCAAGGTGAAAAGTGCGAATACATTGCCCGTTTTGAAATAAATGCTGTAGGATGTGCTGGTTTTGGTGTTTTTAGTCCAAGTTGGGGACGTACTGGAGTAGAGCAGAAGAAATCTCATAGGCATTCAGAATATAAACACAGCACATCAGCTGAGAATAGACCAAATATTTTTCCATTCCATTTGATATTTGCTTACCCTCACCCCTTTGCAATGTACAGAATGTCTCCGAATACACTAAGACGAATTACAAAATTGTTTGTTTTATCTAAAAGCAAAATCGCGAGGTGCCTATCGGGACATTGAGAATTGGCTACAGTTAGAGCAAGTAATACGTCTCAGTCCAGAAAAAATACTACCTCAAGATCTAACCTCCGTAATCTTTGGACATGGGGATTCTGCCTATTACCATTCGACTGCATCGTAGATTTAATCCTAATTGAAGCAGGAAAATACCACAACCATCAAGAAAGGCGTGTAATCCTATAAACAGGGTGTTTCAGAAAATCGTGACAATATTCCTAGAGCGTAAAAAACATCAAAAAGTAACCCGAAAAGTTCATATAATTATAAACTGATGGAAAACATTTCCAAGATCAAAAATTGAGAATCTGACATAGCCCCAAACTTTTGCTAAAAAAACTGACTTCTTTTGCTCACCCTGTATAAGTGGATAACTAAAAGAAATATATGGGTCGAACCCTGTACGTGTTCTCAAAGAATTGTTCAAGAACCTCCTTGGGTTAAATTTTCCATGTTGCAAAGCAACTGACACCAGCTTGCATATGGGTCCTAAATTATATCTTCAGAGTGGATTAAGATATAGAATTTTGTACATATAGTACTGATATCGTTTCTAATCCATACTGAAATGAGTCTTAGACTACACCGGTGGCGTAGAAATTTGAAAATTTTGACCGCTGCAGAAGAAAAACGAAAACAATTTTCTAAGCCACTGACTTTTTAGGAGCATATATTGTATTGTTAAATAAGGTATTCGATTCTATATGAGAAATTTTTGTCGGACTACTCCTTTTGGAGAAAAATTGGTATGTATATTTGAGGTAAAATCGGTATAAAAACCTTCAACCCGCTCATACTTTGAAAATACGCTGAGATTAATGAAATTTGCAATTTAAAACTGTATTTAGTCCACCTGTAGTGTATTAGAAGACAGCCTAACTCGTCATACCGTTATTTAAACAATGATCATGTTTTGTCTACATCACCCTCTATCCTAATAGTGGAAAATTTAAGTGTCTAAGCTTACAGGACCTTTTTTGGGACCTTTGGATAAACTTTCTATCCAGAAATATTGCAACGATTTCGGAAACACGGAATAATTTAAATCGCTCACTATTCTTGGACACTCCATGTACGAGTATTTAATACGACTTATGGTCCGGTTCTATTTGAGCCACAATTAAGGAAGCACATAGTAAAGCTAGGTCGATGAAATTCTTGTTTTGAATAGCTGATAAAGTAAGAAATTTTTTAAGATACTTATGCATAGGAAGAACATGTTTTTCCATGTTTAAAAAGCATTCGAAGTTGATGAACCTTTTTTGTTATGTGCCACGTTTTTAATAAAATTTACAAGGTAGTATTAGTTACTTGATTAGATTGATCTTATGATAGTTATTAAGCCTCAAGTTTCATCTAAATAATAACGAAAGAAGTAGGCATTTATCACAATTATTTTTGAAGTTATGGCCAAAATAAGCACGAAATTCGAAAATTCTTGAGAAATCAAAAAAAAATTATAACTCCTAAACTAAAAAGAATCGGACCATATACATGAGGGTAATTCGGATACCTCTCCACCTGAGGAACTTATTTTTTTTTTATGAAGTCACTTGTTTGGCCACCCTGTATGTTTATTCGAGTATATTCGGCCTTTGTTGGTGCAGGAGATCAGCTTTCAATCTTTGTACTTCCTTTGTCACTGGGCGACGAACTATTGCAAACCCGAAAAATTTCGAAAATGAGATATGATATTTTTTCACAAAAAAAAACATTTCACTCATTTCCGTCGCTCTGTACATCTGTCGGTCTGCCTCTCTGTCGGTTTGTCGGGTAATCAGTGGCCCCTCTGTAACTTGGAAAGTGCTGCTCGGAATTAGATGAAATTTAGGTTACTGCAATACCAAGGACTAAAAAGCTTTTGAAAATCGGTGGCGGCAGATAAAAAAAGCCAAAAACTACAACAATAAAAATTGCTCAAACGTCGTTTTTTGACGTTTTTGAGGATCCTGACCATTTGACAAAAATAGGGGTAAAAAGTTAGGGGTGGGGGGCTGTAGGGAGTTGACGAAAGGTATATCTCAATTTTTGATGTTAGTAGGTATACTTATACAATCATTCTAGGCACCTATTGGTCATATTTCACACATCATAGGATTTCCCGTACATTTGTCTTTAAAATGATAGAGAAATGTCTGCTTCTGCTATCCTAGGCTCAGCGCCCAGCGTAACGGTCTGTTTGGTTGTTCTGCTCTTACTGCGGCGATGCTTCGCCTGGCGAAATAGGAAGGGGCAACGTTGCCAGATGGGCGGTAACTACCGGTATGGCAGAGAAAGAATGTCTATGGACTAAAATTTTATGGTTTGTATAGGCCTGTTTGACTGACTTGGTCCGTTTAATTTCTTTATTGTAACTATTTTTTTTTCTCGGCGGGTTTAACTTGTGCTGAACACAATCATTTATGAACTGATGACGGCGTTGCGTAGGAGGTGCATAGTAAACCTACTTGACGGCAATCTTTTTCTTAAGTCGGAAAGTATTAGCGTTGTATGAATAACTCCGCTTTAACAGACCCGTTGAATGTTTTGGAATAACCAAAATATGTTTATTGCGAGTTGCTTTATTAACTGGCAGCCTGGTAAACTTGTTGTAGAAATAAGTAGCTGTTCTACTAGAAACGATCTTGTGAACTGAAGTAAAATGAAGTTTTCTTATGTTAATCATGGTAAGCCAACCGAAATCCATGAAGCTTACTGATGTGGTCATACTGGCGCAAAAGGGCAGGTCCATATATGGGCTCATAGTAGTGTCAGTCTTAACAAAATCAAAGCTTCACATAATTTGACCTACATGGATTTTGATAATAACGTACTTCTGCTGGGATAAAGTTGTCTTAACATATTTTCGAAAACAATTAGACCTACTACACTTAATTTACGAAGGAGCTGCTAAGGCTAATTATTGCTCACTTTTGGGAAATAGTAATAAATCTATCTGCTTTCAGTATGGACCTAGATACGAATGGGACAAAAGCTCCAAGGACATATTTTGGGTGCCTACTTCTGGGGCTTCACAATATCTGGTCTGCCTGGAGGTGCCATCGCTGAACGTTTTGGCCCACATCTGACGGTAACTGTATCCTTTGTGATCAGTGGAATTTTGACGATACTAGGACCGTGGACAACTTTGCACCCTATCTTGCTCATCATATCAAGGTTTCTTATCGGTCTTTCAGCGGTAAGTTGAAAATCTGAAGGATCCATTATAGTCGACGTCTAAGCTATCGACTGTTTACATTATTATAACCCTTTACAGAATTAACACATGTATTACATAGTCACAAGCACATGTGCAATCGCTAAGATAGCGATCTGTTCGCCATTCCTATCACTTGTGGACATCTGAATAGTAGATCGCTAGCCCACGCCACGTGTGCTCGCTGTGAACATCACCTATGGGGAAAAGCCGAATGGCACAACGACATATTACCTCATGATATAAACAAAAAAAAAGTTTAATTACACCAATTAAATGTTTAATTATACCAATTAAAAAATTAACCAGTAGTAGAGAAGAGTATTTAAAATTAATGAACTATTAAAATGAGTTTACCTGCTCCAAGTAAAACAATTTAATTATATTTATTAAATTTTTTTAATTAGATTAGGTAAAAGTGTTTGCCGAGTCTAAATGACTCATTTTATTTAGATTTTAGAGGATATTTGGATAACATTTGGAATTTAAAAGAACAAATTGCATTTTACTGGATGAATAATTTGGAAAACTTGATATTGATCTCCATTAATTACGAACTTATTATATATGGGATCAAGTTTCACCAATTATTTACATGACTGTCCAGAAACAGGTTATAATAGGTATACCACTATTCACTAGAAGCAATTCTTCGTTTTAACTATTTAATTGACCGCATTTTCTCAGTGCAATACTCGAGAAGATAAACTCAGGCGCATGCAATCAGTCTATCTCTGGGTTGACAAACATAATTAAAGAACAGTGAATTAAACATTTAAGTGTGGTGTATTGTGCAGTGGTGGGTTGTTGATATATAATATAATTTAACTAAAGTCGGATGGCTTAGAAGATTTATCAGGGTTTATTGGAAAAAATCTACAGAAAAAAACTATCTTTTCAAAGGTGGTTTACTAAAGCCAAACACAGATTTTCTAATTAAATGTAAGGGAGAGTGTTGCCACCTAGCGGGCGACGTATCAAGTATGGCATATGCTTGAAATCGCGTCTATTTCAGTTAGTTTGTGAACATTTTGCATCGATCGCACATGTTGTTTGGTTATATTTTGGAGGTACCTGATTCTAGAAGGTAAGCTGTCTGTTTATTCTTAATAGATTTTTAGCATGTGTAGTCATAATTAGTAGGCGTTTAGGCATCTTTTTATATAAATTAAATTATGATGGAGCGCACAATTACCCCACATAGGATTAAATGATAATCTTTTGTTTCTTTAACAGATGCCAGGAAATTACATACGGAAGACAGAAAAGAATTCCTGTGATCCAGAAAATTTGAAGAAAGCGTTAGAGGAAATTAGAAATGGCAAGGAAATAAGACAAGCTGGCCGGGCATTTAATATACTCGTACTAGAGTCAACATTACGAAAGCGAATGACAAAAGAAAATCCTGAATCATCGCGCCTTGGTCATAAACCAGTATTTTCCCCCGAGATTGAGGTCCAACTAAAGGAGTAGGTACGTGCTTACACTTGCCAACCTGTTTTATGGTTTGACGCCCACAGAACTTCGTCGGTTAGCATTTAGATATGCAAAAGAATATAATATAGGACATGTTTTCTCATCTGAAAAGCAAATAGCTTGTAAAGACTGGTTATATGGATTTCTGAAACGAAATCCTGAAATAAAACTTAGGCAGCCAGAGGGCACTAGCATAAATAGAATTGGTTTCTTCAATTCCGAATCAACTAAGAAGTTTTTTGAAAATCTCAAAGTGATAATGGACAAACATAAGTTACCTCTAAACAAGATTTTTAACATGGATGAGACAGGGGTCACCGTGGTCCAAAAAAAGTGCCCAAAAGTTTATAGACGCAAGGGTACAAAAAAAGTGGGAGCTGTTATATTGGCGGAGCGCGGGCGAAAAATAACAGCTGTAGTTGCAGTTAGTGCTGGAGGTAACTATTGTCCACCTATGTTAATCTATCCTAGAAAGAGAATGTCCTCAGCCATACAAAAAAATGGACCAATTGCAGCTCTTTATGCCTGCTCTAAAAATGGATGGATCAATTCGGAGCTGTTCGTTGAATGGTTAAAACATTTTGAAAAAACGTTAATCCCACAGAAAACGATCCTGTTCTGCTAGTTCTAGATAATCATTCCAGTCATATATCCCTAAAAGCTTATTTATTCTGTAGAAGCAAATTTATCCATATATATATATATATATATATATACAGGGTGACTTCGAAGTTGTGTCATTTATTTTAACAGTGAGTAGATCTGATCAAAAGAAATGTTTTTTTCCTTTACCATTTTTCTGGTAAAATTAAAGTAACAAAGTTATAGCCCTTTGGAAGTTTGAGTACCGCCCTGTCTCAATAATAATATTGTGTGCCCGTGTTTGGCAACAACGGATATAATCCGCCTTATCGGTTCATCGCATCGGAAACAAAAAAGCGAAAGAATATGGAACGATGTTTTTACAATTATTTTATTCAGTTGTATACAGTCAGTGTCAGTCGGTAACGCGTGAGTGAATAGTGGTGTCTGTTGCGTGGCTCAAACGAAATCAAAAATGGCACATGTTTACGAAAATGCTGAACTTGTGGACATGATTCTTATTTACGCGGCATCACGGATTTATGCGGATCGGTTTCCCAATCGAGTGCAACCAACCCCTCGTGCCTTTGTTAATGTAGTACAAAGGGCTCGTGAATCAGGTGACTTAAGACCTCACAGTTGAGGGCATGCCGGTGCTCCAAGACTGCACGATCAAGTACAGGTCCGCACTGAAATACTTGTCGGGAGGATACTTTATAAAACAAGGTAACATTTTTTTTTTATTTTTACACACATATTTTGGTTTATCTTCCTTCTACAATCATTATCTGAAAATTAATGACTCAACTTCAAAGTCACCCTGTATATACAATTACTTGTTAATTGGGAAAATTGGCAAAACTTTTAGGCTAAAGTTGACTCTTTTGACGATAAAATCAAGCTTTCGGCATTCTCTATGGAGCCATCATCAGGATTTGGTCGGTGGGGAGACATTTTGTTGAAACAAAATGTCTCCCCACGTGCAGTATTTTTAGCTTGTTCGGATTTATTGATGAAAATTTTTATTTTTCTTAACTTTTAACGAAGGTATTTGTCGTTTTTAACAAGCCCAATGTCCCCGTCCTTTTGTTTTTATACTGAAGACAAGTTCGATCTTCTCTACGTTCTTTCTGAAACACCTTGTGGCTGCAATCTCACCGACGAAATCCTGATGATGGCTCCATAGAGAATGCCGAAAGCTTGATTTTATCGTCAAAAGAGTCAACTTTAGCCTAAAAGTTTTGCCAATTTTCCCAATTAACAAGTAATTGTATTTTGTACCCAACTAGTCGTTGGCTTTGGCAATGACTCCTTCTCATATATATATACCACCTTGAGCCACTGGACTTTTTGGTCGTTTAAAAAAACAACTCTCTAGGGAATATGATCTACAGCTTACCAATACGGGACATGAAAGAATTTCAGAATACGGCTGAACTTTTAAATAGAGCATTTTTAAAAGTAGCTACTATGGAGAATGCTATTTCTTGTTTTAGAACTGCTGGAATATATCCATTAAACCGGGATAAATTTACCGAGGAAGATTTTGCTCCTGCAAATCAAATAAGACCCCTGATAGTTGAAGTTTCTACACCCGATACTGAGAGCGATATTGAGAGACCATCAACAGCCATTGCTGGGCCTTCTACATTACGAGAATCTCCGGTAAATCAGGTAATTCATCGCAACAAGACAACTCGTTTTTCAGCTTTGCTCCGATTCCAAAGAAGAAATCAAATCATGAAGATCCAAAGAGAAAGACTCGTAGTAAACAGTGTTCTGGAATACTAACATCTACCCCTCTTAAAGAACAACTAGAAAAACCCGAGGAAAAAAGAAGAATGACAGCAGCCAAGAAAGTTAAAAGAAACTTAACGGATACAAGGAAGAAAGAAGACATTGTAAAAAAACAGGAAATTGGTTACAAAGAAAAAGAGAAAGTTGTCAGAAACAAGTAGTGAATCTGATATTAGCAATGCTGCCTGTGATGATGACGACGAAGACGAGTCTGATCATTTTGACGAATCTGAACAGAGATAAATTTAATGAAGAATATTGTATTTGTGGAGAGTTCGGTCGGGATCGGGAGCTATGGTACAGATGCGTTAGCTGTTCCACATGGAATCATGCAGCATGTAGTGTTGCTGATCGAGCTGAAGGTTACCTATGTGATTATTGCCACTGGTAATTAAAATTATGTTTAATCGACTTAGGTAAACTTTTATGTTAGTGAGATGTTAATAAACACGTAATAAAATATCTTGATTTGTTATTTTTCATTATTAAAAAATATTTAAAATAATGCGCACACATCGCCACCTTCTGCGTACAATTACCCCATAGGGTGGGAAATTGTGCACACATCACTTTTTCGTTTTTTTCTTGTTCTACATGGTTCTACAAAAAGTACATAATAAAAGTATAATAAAGGCTCTTTAAATTTCTATAAGTATGAGTGTAATAAAGTCAATGGTCTAGTCATGGAAGCACATCTTGCTTAGGTGCGCACAATTCCCCCACTCTCCCTTAAGGACCTCGACCATATTTTGAAAATTTCAACACTGGGTCATTGAAATTTACCAAAAATTATTTAAAATCGTTAATGGATTTAGACACACCAGTTAGTGTAAGTGCAGTTCCAATCATCTTTTTTTTGTTAATGTAAAATGAACTTGAAAATCCGGATGTTAAAAAGAGATATAAAAGTCAAATTCAGAATTGGGAAGAGAAGATGATGAAAATTGTTAAATAAACTCAATCAAGCTGTTTACCAATACAAAGTATTTTTTAACCCATAACATAGATTACATTTACCCATAACATTTTATACAAAATTCTAAAGATGAATATACTGCCTCTATCCTTTCTCTGTAAAAACCTACTTCAATAAAAGACCATAGGAGCTATGAATGGTCTTCGCTGGTACTATCTGTGAAGCAGTTGTTACATCACATCACAGCCACAGCACATCATAGCCCAAGTATCTTGACGTTTAGGCAACTACACAGCTACTACTGAAATTAATGATAGCTCTATAGTATATGTATCGAAAAAAGAAACTAAAACCAATCATAATCACAATATTCACACATATTGCACGTGATCGGAATCCAGAATCTCGAGGTCGTTACACAGCCCGACAGGGCTACATGTTATGCTGTCTTTCCCCGTTTCTTGAAACATATCAGCGTGCCGGTTTAATGTCCTTGGATAAATAGACAACTACGAGGGATGTCTTTTTAGTTTTGCGTATGGAAATAAAACACGGTACTTAGTTTTAAATGACTTTATTGTTTTTCGAAGTATTCTCCACGAAGATTAATACACATCTGCATGCGCTCGAACCAATTTTCGAAGCACTTATTCCACTCGTTTGCTGGCAGATCCAAAACGGCATTTTTGAATGCGTCAACTGCTTCTTCTGGTGACTGGAACCTTTCACCACGCAGTCTGTTTTTAATTTTCGGGAAAGTAAAGGAATCGTTAGGACTTAGATCGGGACTATATGGAGCATGGTCCAATAATTCCACGTTTTCTTCCGTTAAATACTGCCTTGTTTTTTGGACTGTGTGCGAGCTTACATTGTCTTGGTGGAGGATGATTCTTCTTTCGGGGTTGATTTTTCGAAGCTCGGTGATAACATTTGGCAAACAAATGGTGGTATACTAATCCCCAGTAACAGTTCTTTGCTCATTATTTGTTGCAATATGACCCGCTTTTGACACAAATGTCGCGACCATCTTTTTCCAAACACTTCGAGAACGGATGACTTTTGTTGGCTTTTCTTCACCTTGGAACACCCAAACAGCCGACTGTCGTTTATTTTCTAGTTCATAACAGTAAATCCACGATTCATCACCACTAACAATTCTGTACCTACACAGTTTATGAGTTTCCGGAATTGAAACGGTCAAGCGTTTTTTGACACCAATTAACCCTGGCTGCTTTCTGCTCTTCAGTCAACAGGTGGAGTATCCAACGAGAAACTAATTTTCTTACTCCTAATTCTTCATGTAAAATTTTTTGAATTGAGGTCTTTGAGATCTTCAAGGACGCCTCAATCTCGCGATATGTCACATGTCTATCTTCAATAATGAGTTTGCGCACAGCATCGACGTTTTCCTGGGTGACTGCTGTTTTTGGTACACCCACCCTGGGATCGTCGCTAAGACTCACCCGTCCACGTTTGAATTCTCAATACCAACGGGAAATTGTCGACTGATGTGGCGCTTCGTTGCCGAAAACCGACAGTAACTCAGCAAGGCATTCTTGTTGCGATCATTGTCTCTGAAAGTTGTAATAAATTATGGCGCGAAAATGTTCTCGGTTGAGTTCCATTTTTCTAATGACTTGGTGACACTTAAAAATTCACTGTAGTGAGAACACTGCACGTATTGATGTGAAACTTTGAATTTAAGTTTACTAAAGAGTGAGGTTAAGATTCAGTACAGACATTCGATCCGCGCGGCCTACTATATTTCTATATGCAAAACTTAAAAGACATCCCTCGTATATGGCAATCAGACCGCTACCCCATGTCATTTTACAACTAAGGGTGCAGGATATGTAAAAATAATCTTTCTGGAATTAATGATTCCCGAGCAGATGTTATTTCATTATTCAAATCCAGCTCAGCTCTTAAACAGAGCCTTCCCAGCTTTATGTCCCATTTACCACCATCTCAAAGACTTCACAAAGAAATTCAAACGAGCACAATTGCCGTGTCGCAGACAGTACCAGAATACATACATCTTTATACCGGGAACCGAAAAGGCAGAGAGCAGCAAAACACATCGCACGCTACTGTAGGCGCGGCGTGCCTTCGAGTTAATAAAGCCACTGCGCTCGTATCCCGCCGTATCCAAAGAGATGCCTCGCTGACAGTGGCGTGCGATGAGTTTTGCTGCTTCCAACCTTATCGGTATCCGAGTACAGACAGGAGGAAGTTTTTGTAGCCTCTGTCTGGCAATGCTTACAGAATTTCATTATGCTGGGTAACGGTGCACTCTCCCGAGAATCAATACAATTGGCTAATATTTTCAGGGTGTAGTGTACCCGTCCCTGCACTGCCTAATAGCTCGCTGGGCGCCACCAGACGAAAAAGGTAAGTTCATCGCCGCCCTAATGGGTGGATCCTTAGGCACGGTATGTACTTGGCCCACCCTCGGCTGGGCGATCGAGGCCTGGGGCTGGTCAGCGGCATTGGCCGCCTGCGGGGGCGTGGCCTTAGGCTGGACCGCCCTCTGGTGGTGGGTGGTACGAGACTGTCCAGCAACGCATCCTTGGATCGGCGAGGAAGAGCTCAAATATATCAGCGAGAGAGTGCAGACCAAGGAGACTGCTGGGGCGAAAAAGGTGAGTAGACTTAAGTACCACTGGAGCTAGACAACAAATTGTATGGTCCAAATCCAAAGGGAAGATCAAAGTAGGTGTGCACTCAGAACAGAATTTGGCTGACTGCTTGAGTTCAATGTGTACGAGAGAGAGGAGAAGAGCCTAAATTAAGTTTTTATTTTGAGCGTACACATTTGTGAATTGTGTCGAATCTGTTCGGCCCAAAGGGCATCCCATTTCAGGTCGAAATGAAAGGTCAGGATCGCCACAAATTCTGCAACATTGCATCATTGGATCGCTTGGCAATACATCTCGTACATTCCAAGGGAGGGTTCCCACCTCCATGATCATAGATGAACGATATCGGGCAGTACCCATCTAGCGTTCATTGTGGAGTGTCTGCCTGCTTCGTGCACGCAGTCAGTGATAATTTGTATTGCGTATGGTATTTGTTACATTTTCCAACCGCTGGCTGTCGCAAAATGTAACAATAATTCAGGATGTATTCATTTTATCGCCATTGGTGGAAATCAAAGATAATTCTAAAAGAAATTAACACTAAGTTGCATCAACATTGAAATAAATGAATAACTCTTATCAAAATGAAAACATAATATTAAATGTTCGAATAGACCTCCTTCGCCGGCATCTATCTCACTTCTTGTGCTTCTCTCTCGTACACATTGAACTCAAGCCATCAGACAAATTTGGTTTTCCCTGTTCATTTAGAATGGACGCTTGAGGGCTGAATAAGATTTTAAAAGGACATTATAACGCAACTCCTCACAAAAGACTGTAATAGACAGTTGTGACAATTCCTCAAAATACCCGAAAACCACAAAATTTTGAATTCAAAGTTCTTAATGTTCACAAAATCTGATTTTTCATATTTTTTTAATTTGGACATTTTTGCAATGTTAAACTCCCAGAAATTTGGAAAATTTTGAGGTTTTTCAGAGTATTCAAAACTTGGCATTTTGAGAATATTGAAAAGCGGAGATAATGAAAATATCAGAAATTTAAAAAATGTATAAATTTTGGAAACAGAACTACAAAAATTACGAAAATTTTGAAAATCGTTTAATCACCAGAGAAAAGTCGGTGAAGGAAAATCGATATAAAAAAACTTCATTGTTCTGATGTTTGAGACTGAATATTGTTTGTAATATATTAGAAGAGTATCCTAGCTCACATAGCACTATCTGAACAATGTTCGTGTTTTGTCCTTATTAAATATCATCAGTGGCGTACAAATTTACAACACCCTGCATCTTGGGAATGTGTAATATTAGGACTTACGTTTATGAGAACTTTTTGCAATTTGGGGATGCCTTTTCTACCCTAGGAGTATTGTTTTTCTGAAACACCCTGTATATGTAGGTCTGTGAATCTGACTAACCAACCGTATCCCATCTGTTTCAGCGCCTCCCTCCATACAAAGCAATCCTCAAGTCGACCCCATTCTGGGCACTGGTGATCCTGCATTTCGGAAATATGTGGGGCCTGTTCTTCCTTTTAACAGCTGGGCCAAACTTCATCACGAACGTGTTGGCCTTTGACCTTGGACATACGGGTATTCTGGCCGCGCTGCCGTATCTCGCTAGATTGATATTGGCGTTGATCTTTGGACAGATCGGTGATCTCATTATGAAGAAAAAGTGGATGAGCAAGGACGCCATCAGAAAAGGATTCGTGCCTATTTGTAAGTATGATAAAACTTATTCATGAAAACTTTGCTAATTTTGGGCAAACTGATGTCGAACGTAGCTTGAAAAAAAGCGCAATCTAGAAGATAAATGTGGGTAGCTTTCGGGAGTATGTGGGATCGCATACATATAATAAGATGAAGAATATTTGTTTATGAAGCTGCCATTGTCTCAGGTTTATCCAAGTGAATTACACATAGAACTACAGCTATCGATTACACAAAAAGTTGACGTAGTAGTATTTGAGCTTATTACATAACTGATGGGAGTGATTTTGCTGAATTATTTTCAAAATGGTAGCATTTCCGGTTGTACCGGAAGTAGATGTCAACTTATTCTAAATAGAACACCCTATATATTGTGCAATTTTTAAATTCAACGCGAGAAAATAAATACTTTTCATGTGTATCATCCTATACCTAAGTCTATGCTTTTAACGGGTTGCTTATAGTAGAGGACTTACTTCAATAGATTTTATTCAAGATTTTGATAACAAATAGTTCAGGGTAGTCCAAACAGGCAATGGAAATTAGATTTAAAAACGGCAAAAACATAATTTGTATGTCATTATATACGTTTACCATGTCACAATAACGAGCAGAATCGATGTAGTCAAACCATTACGATACCATCTTGAAAAAATATTTGATGCTTTGCTGGAAATATCTGATAATAATTCGTAGGAATGGGATTGTGCAACACCTCACAAAACTCACTCGCTTGCGCTGAGCATTCGAAATAATATATAGATTTAATTTATTTAAACAAAATTAATGCTTTAAGCAAAATGATGCAAATCCCCACAATGAACATACAAATCTGTGCAAATTTGTTGGAAAAATTGATTATTAAGTTTACCGAATATCGCACAGATGAGCACTTTGCGAAGCTATTACAAGAAGCTACTAATGTAGCTCAGGTTCTCAAAGTACCAGCAAATTTCCGGCCAATAAACATGATTTGTCCTAGAAGACCAACCCAATTTCAATATGAACACAGTGACGAAGTGTTACTAGACCCCAAGATTATATACAAGAGAACCACTGACGATACAGCCCTTAGACGGTTGTCGGCTTTAAAAAAGGAAAGGATGACTGCGGATGCGTACCGGGGTAAATTTCCATAGTAACAGAGTCGAATTTCGATTGGCGTTCTGGCCCTAATAATGCCCATTATAAATATCCGAATTTTTTTCTTCCCTACTGTCGCAGTAGCAGATCTGTCAGCTCTCGTTCTCAAACCTATAACGCAGATTTTTTCAAATCGTCAGCACATTATTCGTCGGATTTTCGTCACTTAAATTTTCTGTAATTTCTCAGAAGCTTCTCAATAATAGAACGTGTTTCACATATCAAAGATGCAATATTTAATATCACCTTTTCCAAAACCCTACTTTTTAAGTACTACAATTTTTTATGACAATGATTTTTGCCTATAGCGCCGCTGCCACTAGACTGAAACTACAAAGCTTTGGCATATAAGTAACCTAGTGTGGAAATTTCATAGAAATCCTAGCGGTAATTTCCAGGTTACAGACGGGCAAACGGTAAGCAGACAGACAGACGGAAATGAGTAATATACATAGTTTTTCGTGATGTATAAGTCCCAAAAAACATAACATCTAATTTTCGAAATTTTCCTCGTGGCGTGCGTAGTAAAACTGCTTGATGGAGGTGTAAAATTTTGAATTTGCCGAAGCAGCCTAAACGTCAGGAAATCAGTATATTCACTATCTTAGGTTTTATTTATTGGTCAGTGTATAGATATGTCAGAGAGACAATCGGGCATAAGTTCAGAAGTTACATTTACGTAACTAGTTACGGAAATTCACATCGAATCAGCGTTCGCGATTATGAACACCTATTTGCAGAATGACTACGATATTATGTGAAATAGGTCACCAAATTATCTGAGTATGTCCTTTCTTAGTCCGTACATTCCTCCGCGTCGCTTGGTTTGGCAGCACGAAACAGTAGGCAAAATTCGTGTACAAAATCCGATTTGTAGAGGTTTAGGCTTTATTTTTTAATATTTTTGAATAAAATGTGTACAGTATGCTGAAAATAAAACCCTACAGGGAGCTATCAAGCCACTTTTTAATTTTTTCCACTAGGCTCTTTCTAAAAGTTCAACAAAAAAGTAAGCATTTCAACCCACCATAAATCTTGTGTAAAAACAAAATTTCAAAAATTGCTCTTGCTGGCACTCTTGGCAACATACTATACGAATTTCATTCAAAAATATTGAAAAATGGCGTGTCAGTTTCGAAGCAGCCGAATCGCTTGCAAATGGCTTGAAACTCACTGCGTCGGGAATTTGTTATCCAAATCCGCAATAAAATCTAAAGTATATCCCCTACTATTGGAAACTCGTTAAAAATCATATGGCGAAAAAGCTAAAATAAGAGAAAAAATTGTTATAATTAATTGGCATTCATTTTTCGTTTTTTGCGCAAAATTTGAGATATCTGAAAATCGACCAAACTTATTTATTACATGAGTTGTATGTTATTATATGTAGTCTCGCATAGAATTCAATAATTGAATAATATATAGCGTGTTCCATAAGCAAGTCGGTATCTGCTTTCGGTAGAACCGGAAGTGAAGTGAGATTTTGAAAGCATTTTAGCACAATTGCTTCCATCGGTTAGTGGTTAGTACAAGCCTAAATTTTCATAACTGGAACTTTTTGGGTAATTGATCGTTGAGTTCTACGTGAGACATCCTGTATAGTTTTTTGTTTGTTATTATTTTATTATTTCTAGCTCACATTCTACCAGGCCTTCTACTCGCCATCCAAACTCTGACCGGCTGTGACGTGAACTGGGCCATTGTTTTGATAACTTTGTCCTTGGGACTGAACGGAGCCTCAACTTTAACCAACTTGCAAAACGCGCACGATTTAGCGCCCAACTTTGCTGGAACCCTTTATGGCATCGCCAACTGCCTAGGAAGTGCTACAGGGTTCATATCACCGATTATCGTCGGATATCTGACGTCGACACATGTGAGCTAAATGTTAAATTTATACTATCGATGGTCTGATAAGTTAAAAATATTTTACCGTAATTGGATATCTTGCCAAAAAAATAATAATGGTAACGTTCGATATGAGGAATCTTAGTCAAAATACTTGATACCATTTTTTAAGGTAGCGAGAGCGAAAGAAATACGAGTACCGATTATTTATCGGTTCCCAAGAGAAACAATATTAAATTCCTAAATCAAAAGTAGTATTCCAGAAAAATAGGAATCATTCAACTATTTGACAAATTGGTTAAGGCTTTCGCGGCCAGTTGATAAACTGCTGTCTTGATTCGGGTCTAATGGCCGTCGTCGGTCGGAATTTCTTCCTAACGTTTCGCTAGCACGAGTGGCAAACTTCTTCAGAGGTCCTACCATTTCCGATGCTGGATGTTGCCGCTCGTGCTAGCGAAACGTTAGGAAGAAATTCCAACCGACGACGGCCTTTAGACCAGAATCAAGACAGCAGTTTATTCAACTATTTTCTACTTCTGTATAAAATACGTAGGTACCCACGGGTGCTGGATGTGTCTAGCATTGGCTACGATTCGTACACATGCACCAAATTTGAGGTCAAACCCCATGTTTATTCACTCTTGAAGTATAATTTCTCGATTTCTTAAGTATGCAGATATTTATCGGTACTTTCGATGTTCAATGTTTTGGATGAACCACCTTGTACCTGTATATGTAACTATATTTTTTAGTTGAAAACACACACGAGTATTGCTGCATTTTCAAAAAATCTAATCTTATCTAAATGAAAAATAAGTCTGAGCTCACCAATTGACGCATATCCGTAATAATGCACATAGAGATATTCAGAATTTTGACCACCGATTTGTTTTTATGGAACAGCTGTCCCAAACGTAAAAATAAACGCTCGAAAACTTTTTTCACTTATCACACCATCACACCACTATCACAAGATTTTCAGATATATAATCAATAATCAATGAAAAATCGATCTCGAAGAACCGCACGTGCAGGTAAGAAAAGTGGGACGAAACTAAAAACCGTTAAAGACAATTGAATTTAATATCCCAGATCCCAACCAATTGCAAGTCTCGCGCGGTTTCCGATAACAACTTCTTGCAAGAGTATAAAAGTGTAAGACAAGTAAGGTCACACTCGTGAAAGCTTTCCATGATTTTCTTCATACGGATCTGTTGACATGGCAGTGTTTGTCGCCAAAATTACGTTATTGTGTACATATTCATTGACGCCCGAATATTTAGCATGATTTTATGTACAATTTCGAAGATTTTCAAGATTTGCTGTCCCCCGCTCTTCAAAATGTTTTGCCGATGATCGTTCTCTTTCCCCTGAGAAGAACTCCTGCGGACGCGCATGTGCATACTTTTGGGTAAATTTGACTTTCAATGACTACCGTGTCTTACTTTGCATTTACTCATGGACTTGTAGTACTATGGCTGGTAGCTGTAGGTGGCCTCCGTGGCAACGTTAGTTGATGCCTTGTAAACACGCGGTCCTCTGGCTCTTGTTGGTTGCTTCTGGTTTTTCTTCAAGTTATACCTGTATACAGATCTGATGGGCATATGTTTTCACTTCGGTGTATTTGATGCACATCTATTTCATGCTTATGATTTCAGTAAGCAGAAAGGTACGTCGCTCGGGTTACCAATCCTGTTTCTGCTCCTGTTCCTTTATTGCGAACATGCTATCTTTTTTTTTTGTTTTTCATGTAGGTTTCCGCAAAACAACTTGACCTTCTTCGTATTTACTCATGAGCTTGAAGTACCACGGCAGGTAGCTATAGCTGTGCCTCCGTGGCGACGTTAGTTGATGCCTTGTAAACACGAGCTCCTCTGACCTAAGCCACAACTGTGCCTGCTGGCTCCTTTTGGTGACTTATGTTTGTATTACCCTTGTTTTCCTGGAGTATGCTTGTACCGGTACTTGCACATCTAGGTACAATGAATGAATTAATTAATTATGAAATTAGAGGCATAACGGCCACCATGCAGAGCCGGCGCATAGGCCACTTAAACGGGCCCTTATGCACCTCTACATTCCCTAAACCTAAAGCCTCGCCATTATAGCAATGTTGAGTATGGCATTGTCCAAGCTCCTTAACGATCCGGGGGTCCAAAGTGATGGACCACAGTATAGTCAGCCTATAGTAGCTCAGAGAATTACAACGACACAGAACGTACGCCGAGGTATCTTCCTCTACCACGCAGTGCTCACAACAAGGGATCCTCAGCCACCCCCATCACGTGTAGGTGGCCCCTTAACGTGTTATGGCCAGACAACAGTCCCACCAGTAACCTTAGGCTGGCTATATCCAATGATAGGCAAAAACGTCCATTCTTAGCGCTTAGCCCTACGATGCGTTCCCGTGCAAGGCGGAGATGTCCGGAGATGCTTATTCATTTCTGAGATACCGGATGCCTCGCTGCTAGACAAACCAGAGCTTCCCTGCATTGCAATATAATTATCGAAGTAATCTTACAGGTACTTAGTGCCTTCATTGCAGGAGAAGATTGATATTCTCCTCTTGGACTCTCCCCCCTCCAAAATGCGGGATACACAAGCCAAAGTCCAAAGACTACGGTACCAGACCTGCCCACTCACTCCGGAAATCTTTCGCCTACCGGAGTCCCACTCCGCCATCGTTGGATACGATTGAAGCGATATTTAGGGGTGATCAGATCACCCATGCTCAGAAGGACAAGGATCCTCTTTGCAGTTCGGCTAAGATGGCAGTGTGCCCCTTGACACGATTCAAGTAGGCCCAGCTGCCCTGACTCCACAGTCGAAGTGCGACTACTCTCGCTTTTCCGCGGATCGCTAGATCTAAGCATGGGAAATCCTACGTTTTCCATTGTACTCAATAGCGTTGTCCGCACTGTGCTTATAATACTAATACAGGCAAAATGCTGAATTTTATTGAGTTTGGCCTTAGCTGTCACGGTTCCAATGCAAGGCAACCAAACCAAGGAGCCGTACAAGAGAGATGGACGTACTATCGTCATGTCGAACCAGTGTACCACTTTGGGTTTACGCCCCCAGCTCACTTCGACAACACATCTACAAGCCCACATCGAGTTGCGAACCGTGTTAACCTTGTGTTCAACATGCTGTCTCCAGTTCAATTTATAGTCCAGGATAATTCCTAGAAATTTTACTAATTGGGATAGAACTAGTCTAGTCCCAAAGAAGGTCGGCAAGACAAGCCCGTCAAGCCTTCTTCTCCTAGTGAATAGGCTCAGCTCGGTCTTCCCAGCATTAACAGAAACGATCTCCCTACACCACAATTCCACAGAGCACAGGGCGCCCTGAATAATCTCAGAGACTGTTCTACAAAAACAACCCCTAACTACTATAGTTAAACCGTCTGCATAGGCTTGAACATAAACACCCGCCCTACCGAGCCTAGCGAGGAGTTCATTCACCAAGATGCACCACAGTAGGGGTGACAGAACTCCACCGTGCGGACGGCCCCCCGAGCTACACCACTGACGCTGCTGCATACACCTATAGTGTATTTACACCCAAGATGGAATGGATGCGTGATTTCCAAAAGCAAGGACGGCGTACAGGGACGCATTCAGGGCTACCTCCGAATGATGGACTACCACCAACGTGTTGTAAAACAAAGATGACAGTATTTAACGAAATTATCTAATATAGTGAAGTAGTTATAGATAAGGATGTCGCAAAATCAAATTTTTATTCTTGAAGGGGTGCTAAGTTTTTCTACAGATTTTTCAAACTAGACAACATGGAGAAATACATACCAGAGGTAACCAGCTGCTCACTATGCACAATAAATCCGTAGTCAACGAGGGGTAGAGATGACACTTTTGTACATGGAATAAATATAAGGCTGTTCAATCAATTGACAATAGATTTTGAAGGTGCACTTCGGACTTGCATTGTCTGTAGTTTATCTGTAAGTTAATATTTCAGTATAACTAGGATTCCCATAAAATGTATTGTGTGACAAAACAAAAACGCGAAACTTACTCAGACTCACTTGAAGAGCTATCGTCATTAATGTTTATGATGATGGATTCAAAATCTCTCTCAATTATGTTGTCCAGCTCCCACATTGCTACCTCCACTTTCTCCTGAACATGCTGCACACATTTTTGCCATCTTTCTGGTGTGACCCTCTGTATAGCAATTCTGAACAGCTCTTGCATGTCAGAAAATTTAAATGTTGTATTGTATGCAGCAATGAAATTCCTAACATCTGCCCATATGAGCTCAATGGGATTGAGCTCACAGTGGTAAGGCGGCAAACGGAGTACTGTTTTGTGGTGTGCTTTGGCCATTTCATCTATGACATATTTATCATGTCTTGGTCTGTGTTGTTTCACAATATCTAATAGTTGTAATTTCAGTAAGGAAGGGTCGAAAGTTATATTTTTGGAACGGAGCCAGCTCTGAATGTCTGATTTTCTAGAAGCTGAATTTGGAATTTTTTCCATTTTGCGATAATGATAGGGAGCATTATCCAAAACAACCACAGAATTGTCTTCGAGACGTGGTAAAATGCCTGAAAACCACTTCTCGAATGCTTCCCCATTCATCTCTTCATGGTAGTCAGTGGTTTTTTTGACTCAAAAGACCATAAGCCGTCATCCACGACGCCATCTACACCCTCAATGTGGCAAATAATGAGCCTTTTTCCTTTGCCTAGAAAGATAAAATCCGCTAAGTACACATGCACGTCCTGTAGGTACGAAGATAGAGAGATATTGTGTTTTTCAATCCGGTCGACAGTCCAACTAGAAATGCCCTTCTGGATGAAGTCACAGTTTTGTCAACCCATACCTTCGGAGTAGTGTGCCCAGCGTTAATCCAGGTTTCGTCCAGGTAATAGATCTTCCTGTGCTGATCCCTAAATGATTTAATTTTGGTCAGGTACTCTCTCCTCCACAGAACAATTTCTTCTCTATCCATAAGTAAGCTGTTACGACCTCGTTTCTTCCATTCGAAATTAAGATGCTTCAAAAGTTTATGAATAGTCGAACGTTTGAAATTTGGTAACATAGCATCCTCGTTAACCTCCCGTAGTACTTTATCAACTGTCGGTATTTCGTTTCTGAAGAAGAACTCATGCACTTTCCTCCGAATCGCATGCTTGTCAGCGTCATCCAACGATCTTATGATACTTTTGCGATTTTTACCCGTCATTGGCTTGGAAAAGGCATGCTTTTTCTTATGTTCGTTCAAAACATTGTACACTGTCGCTTGCCATACCCCAATTTTATCTGCCACTATCAGAGCTATTTTCGGGTTAGTTGATGTTTCGTCTTCCTTTCGCTCTATCTTGAATGTATTCAATATGACCTCTTTCATGTCTACGCTAAGATGTCTTTTTTTTATCGCTTTCTAGGAGGGCTAAGGGAGTAGCCTACAGCCTCGTAGTATCGCAGTATCTGTACTGGACATGTTCAGGATTGGTTCAAAACAAATAATAACGAGGAATAACAATAACAAAGAGAAACTTAACAAATTACTCAAATACACTTAACAACAACAACAGCAACAACCAAGCACGGTGAATACGAAAACACGAGCACGCGCATTATTCCGCCAGGCGACCACTTGAAATGTAATGGCGGATTTACCAATAAGGCGTTGTCCCGAGAGATCACCCGCTAACTGTTATTATTTACATCTCATCTTGAATTTGGATTCAGTTTAGGTACAATACTGTATTGGTAAGCCGAAGGTTTGACCCATTTTTCATCAATTTGTAGCGTAAATCGAATACATGCGAATGGCGCTAAGCATGCCCGGCAGGCGCATCGCTTTGTGGTGACGAAATAAGAAACTTCTGAGGAGCGTAACTTTTTCATTTACGAAGATATTCAAAAAAATGTCGGAGCTGTACTTCACTTTACGTAGACTATCATTTTAAGCGTGTTTCAAAAAATAGGAAGCTTTTTCATTCGTTGGCTCCGGAAAATCGTGGTGACCACTTCTCATGGTTCGTACTTTGACCCTTGCAGTCTAGTGGCTGGGAACCGGGGGGACGACTATAAAATTAGGTTATTTATTTCTATAAATTATTTTTCATATTGTATTTTATGTATTTGCACTTTCAGAATGGGCTGCACGAATGGCACACCATCTTCTACATAGGTTCTTCGGTTTACATTGCTTCTGGGATAATATTCTGGTTCTTCGGAAGTGGGGATGTTCAATCCTGGAATGACTTAGAAGAAACAGCCAATAAACGAGACGTTGTGGGCATTGAAAATGTTAGTTTTGATGACGTAGAAGTTGATAAAAATGACAAGAAAGATAGAGAGACTAGATAACTTACATTGAGCATTTACTAGATTTTAAAATGTGTTTAATATTATTTTTTAGAATATGCGTTTTTATTAAGATTCCGAAGTAGGTAAAATACCTTTATACATATCGTATATGTGAGCAATTATGTGATTTTATTTAAGGTTTTATTGTATATATCTCATGAACAGAGCTTATAGCAATGCCAATAAATGAGTTACCATGTAATTCAATCAATTGTAACCATTATATAAATTTCATAAAGAACAATCATATTAAAGTAATGTTGTTTCATTCTTTTGCCAAGACCATGTTTTCGATGCCATTATTTTTTGCTACGAAACCATTATGGACCATATGATGGTATGTTTTGGTACATTTCAAATCCAAATTTCAAACCCTTCCTTTCCGCTGAAAATACCTTCCCAGAATTTCTGGATTCCGACTCGGATACTGCCAGCTGGAAAACGGGCGTGGTTACCTGGGCCCAAATAAAACCACCCTTCTTTGCCTAATCGACAAATTTGACCTGGTTTGTGTGTTGCTTCTCTTTTTCTCAACACCAAAAAAAAAATCGGAACCTCAACTGACATTTTAATTTTTAACACTCGGATAGTTACTTGAATATTCAAATTTCAAGACATTTAAGAAAATTTGGGGAAGAACTGTTTTATTAGTACGCTTGATATAACAAAGCTAATGTGCGGTGAAGCGTGAGCGAACTAGTAAAAAAAATAAATGAAAAAGTACTCACTGTTCAGTTGAATAGAAATTCCAAGTACGGCTCTGTCGTAAAATCAGTATTTACATCGTAGAGTACGTCGTATAACTGTACGCCGGCGCTGGCGCTGTCGACGTAATCGAGGGATAGGACAGGACCGGCTTCGGTTTGGTTCAGGTTTGATTGAGTTTGCGGAGCCCAATATCTCGGTTCTTCTAGGACATATTAGTGTATATGCTACTAAGAAAATCCGCTTATTTTCTCAAGATCTACACGTCGTGTAAAGGAAAACCCCAACTTTGCGGACATTCTATTTACTGATAAAGGTTACAGGTACTGCCAAACAAAAAAACGTTATTCATTTTTTATGCTACATCTTCCGCCTATAATGTTCAACCAATTTTATATTTTCATTCGTTTGATTGTAACGAGGCGAAAATCAACGAGATACAATCAAAAATTCAAGCAATATCAAAGTTGTATATTCACCCGACTGCCTCAGATAGAAGGTAATGTTTTTCGTGCGTGTTTTTGCGCCTAGTTCGCCACCACTAGACCGATTTTCAAAAACTACAAAGGTTTTTTATCCTTGTATACTATTAATATTGTGTGAAAATTTCATCAAAATCCGTGCGGTACTTCTCAAGTTATACTCTTATATAAAATTAACCCACAGACCGTTAGACAGACAGACCGACGGAAATTAGTGACATGATTTTTCGTGATGTAGTTGTCATGTACATAAGACCCAAAAAAATCTGATATCTCATTTTCGATTTCTTTTGCGCCACGGGCGTGCGAAGTAAAACGGTTTTAAGATAGAGGAGTAGAAACTTTTAATTTGAAGAACAAGCCTGAACGTCAGGAAACCAGTATATTCACCATTTTAGGTTTCATTTATTGGTAACTAGTTACGAACATTTACTATACTTCGAATCAGCGCAACACCTACGAGTATTTGCAGAATGACATACTGGGTTTGTCCGGAAAATAATAGGACTGAGTCGATTTAAAAAAAAATATTGAGCCAATCGTTACAATTCTTTAAAAACTTTGAAAATAGGCTCATTCTGCGACGATGCAGCGCTGCCAGCGCGATTTCCAAGCATTGAAGGTGTCACGGAAGGCATTCTCCGGAATAGCCTTGGATCCCCTCTGTCGTCTCAAAATGCTTGCTTTTCATCGGCCTTTCTAGGCGAGGAAACAAAAAAGTCTGGGGGGCCACATCTGGGCTGTAGGGCGGCTGCGGAAGCGTTGGGATGCCGGCCTTGGTCAGGTAGCTGTTCACAAGAAAGGCGGTATGAGCCGGGGCGTTGTCGTGGTGCAACTTCCAGTCGGCTGCGATGTCTTGCCGGACCCGACTGACCCTTCGTTTGAGTCTCCTGAGCACTTCCACGTAAAACTTGGCGTTGACGGTTTGTCCAGGAGGAACAAATTCATGGTGGACGATGCCTTTGATGTCAAAAAAGACCATGAGCATCGTTTTCACTTTGGATTTGCTCATTCTTCCCTTTTTTGGGCGAGGAGACGCCGTCGTGTGCCGCTCGGAAGATTGCCTCTTTGTCTCGGGATCATACTCAAAGATCCACGACTCGTCACCTGTGATTACGTTATTAAAAAATTGGGGGTCACTTTCACACATGTTCAAATTTTCTTGGCACACTTCCACTCGCCGCAATTTCTGGTCGTCAGTGAGCACTTTTGGGACCATCTTCGCGCACACCTTGCGCATGTTCAAATGCTGTGTCACAATGTCATGAACGACAGATTTTAGTAAATTTAACATCTGGGCAATTAAACGAATACTTAGTCGACGGTCTGAGTTCAAAACTTTGCGCACACGAGTCACATTGTTGGTGTTTGTCGAAGTCGAAGGTCTTCCAGCACGATCTTCAGCAGCGACCTCTTCCCGGCCCTCCAAAAAGGCCTGGTGCCACCGAAACACACCACTTCTTGCTAAAGCAACACCTGGGTAAGCCTGCTTGATCATATCAAACGTCTCTGTCGCAGATTTACCGAGTTTCACACAGAATTTAATCGCGTACCTCTGCTCTAACGAACGCGGCATTCCGGGCTTGCACCACTCACAGAAACACGTCGCGCGAAAATGCCTGTCCTGACTCTCCAAGTGCTCGGAGACAACTGACCAGCCGCTCATTCGTTAGCTAGGAACGCCCTCTACCGAATCAAGTCGGTGCGCGCACGCTCCGAAGTACAGTCATGGCGGAAGAAAATGAGTCCTATTACTTCCCGGACAAACCCTGTATACACGATATCATATGAAGTAGGAGTAGGGCCACCAAATTATGTGAATACGTCCTTTCTTAATCCATACATAACGCAGCGTCGCTTGGGCTGGCAGCACGAAACAGTAGATAAAATTCGTGCAAAATCCAATTTGTAGAGGTTTGCGTGTTTCGAAACTGACGCTTTATTTTTTAGTATTTTCGAATGAAATTTTTACAGCGTGCTGAAAACAAAATCCTACAAGGAGAGAGACACTTTTTCATTTTTTCCACTAGGCTTTTTTTAAAAAAATCGCGAAGATCAACAAAAAAAAGATAAGCATTCCAACCCACCACCGATCTTGTGCAAAAACAATTTCAAAAAGTGCTCTGATTGCCTGGACAATTAATTTTCTTCTAAATGTACTGTATGAACTTCATTCAAAAATATTCAAAAATGGGGTGTCAAGTTTAATAATACTGTATTTCTTTTAGCGGATGCTTTGAAGAACGCAACTACTTCCTTCCTTTACCTACAGTATTTCTTACTGCTTGGACACTGCTGCTTTTTGAAATCGAAAGATTCAAGGCATGATTTGCGCATGGGCTTTTTAGAGCATTCGGCAAACATTTTTGCAATTCCATTACAGCGCCCTTTTGTTCACCTAACATTAGGTTATACGTATCAGTACCAAGGCCCTCACATAGTTTTGAGTCTAAGTTATTGGTTTTAATGAAATGCTTGACTGTTTGAGCAAGAATTTGACCTGTGACTTTGGACTCCATTGTATCTTCATCAAAATTTGAGTAGCAATCCACAAATCCCATGAAGTCCTCGTAAATATGTTTTTGATAACAATACCGCAATACATTTGTGATTTATGGCTAATGTCTGTAGTTTCGTCAAATATAATACTGTAATACTGACTTTGCCTGACGCGACTTAAAACTATATCCAAGATTTCTTCGTCACAAAATTCTATAATTTCATTTTGGATGCGGCTGCTTATGTACGTAGCATGCGCTTTTGAGTTCTCTAAGTTTTTTTTCAATAAATTGTCGCCGCTCTCGACTCTAAACCGTATTAGTTCTCTAAAAAAGTCGTCCCCTATGTCTATGCCCTCTAAGTGGCATATTTTGGCATCCTAAAAAAATTATAGATGCTATTATAGGAGTCAATCTTTGCCGATTTTCTGATACTTCGCTCTCAACCTATTATATTTCTTATATCATTCTCTGGATTTTCGTAAATCTTTAAAAAGTTTGTAGCATCTGAAACTGCTTCTGTATGATATAATGAGTTCTCATGTGTCTCACAATTACCGGTTTTGCCATACAATTTCGAAAATTTCTTTAGTGGTACGGTAACAAGTTTTCTCAATTTAGTTGATTTATGTACTCCTAATTTTGCAAAAACCACGCAATATTTACAGAAAAGCCCTTGTAGTTCCCCTGAATATGACACCCAAGGAAATTTCTCTGTTTTTTTGAAATGTAACATGTCACTTCTTTATTATTTTTCAAGTGTGTGGAATAGGGATATTTGAAAGAGTCATTAGGAATCATTGCACACCTCAATAAGGTATATTTTCATGGGAAGACAAGTTGCCACTGAAATTTACATATGGCGCAACATCAACAAAATTGGATCCTTTAGGTTTCGCACCCGATTGTTCAACACTTGGTTCAGCATACATCAAGAAATTTTGAAGTGGAAGGCCCAGGTTGAATTGTAGGATTATCATCAGTTTTTTTCGGTAATTCTTGTGCCGGTGGATCAGACAGTTTGTTTTATTTAGAAAGGAACCAATCGATGGTATTCTGTTTCCTGTTACTCATCCTGACAACAGCAGCCGTCAACCAGCACTAAAAGTTACACAAATATTGTCAAATAAACGGCATTATTGGTTTCCACGTATCTCATAACAAAAAACCTTTTCTGTTTGGAAAACAAGATTTCTTAAGTTCAAGCGATTTTCAAAAGCTAAATATATAATTTGCCATCTCGGACGAACGAAATGCACTGAAGTGCTTATATACAGGGACCTCCGAGACAAAATAGACATAGATGATAATGATAGCTGGAGTATGGACCAAACACTTCGTAATTGAAATTATATCAAATTTCCATTTTTTTAGACACGATTCTTTTATAATTTTTCATAAAGCTGTCGTTAACATGTACTTCTATGGGGCCTCTACAACATATCCTATGAGTGGCACAATTCTTCGTTTGGGTTCTGCGGGGGGAAAGTTCTTATTGTTGAATAACAAAATTTAATTCTAATTTCTTTGTCTTCTTGTACTCGTAAATCGATTTATGACTTGTTTCGTATCGACATGTACATCTTTATAAATATTTATAAAAGTGCCAGTCCTGTTGGGCGATCTTCTGTCACTGATGCTGGCGACCGCGTCTTGAACCTCCTGAACGTAGAAAAGGGCCTCTCTTCTAACGGTACAGTAACTGATGATGTATCAAGGATACATAAGGATTTTTTGATGTTGGGATACATTTCGGCATCGCAATTTTCAAAGTATAAGACTGTAAGAGTCGAAAGCGGAATATTCTGCACTCGCTGCCACTTTGCCATCCACGGCCGATATCCATTCACAATTATTGGAGTATGTCCAAGAGCTGTTGGAACGCGATTGCGAGTTGCTTAACGGTTTCTAAATTTTCACTTGTTTAAGTGATTCTCGGGATAAAAACACCTAACTTAACTTAATTAAATGTCTCTGGGGATAGTTATGAAACTATGCTAGGAACTCAGCATTATTTTCTTACTATTCAAATCCCACTTTTCACACACATTCATGTTATTCTTGTGTTTAACTAAGAATATACAAAAAGTTGGCAAAAAAACCTAATCATCAGCTATTTTGAATAAAGGGCCCAACTTCCCTAGCCCTAGAGAGAGGCGTGGTGAATAAAAATCCCACCTCTTCTCCCAAGCGAAAAGAAGGCGTGGTCTAAGATACCACAGATTTTTATTTTCATTTAACATGCCTCCTTTTCTAGCTGACTGTTCTGTAATCACAGTCCTTTAATGTTGACTTTTTGTTTGACTTTGACGCTTTGACAGTTGACATTGTTTTGACTTCTCGTTTCAACACAATTCAAAGCAAATTTTATAAAGAAGCTCTGTTTTCTGCAGAAATGGACACGTATGAAAGTGTTTTATTAGTGAAACCTGAGGTGTTTGTATTTAATATACCGCCCAGATCCACCAATAGAGGTTACAGGTAATGCCAGCCAAGGGTTTTTCATAATTTTATGCTACGCCTTCCGCCCACAATTTTCATATCAATTTTCTATTTTCTTTGTACTGTATATCGTATTTTAATCACTATTTTCAGTTCCGTATCTTATTTTTGTTTGTGTAATACATAACAGATCATTCTTTAGTTTGAATCATGTTGTAGATAAACCATTTTCCCCATTAGTCCACAATGACTATGCTTTCTCTTTTGTGTAACTAGAAATTTGTAGGAACTTTAGCAAAAACTAATAGTTTACGTATATAAGTGACCTGCGATAACGTGGCCAATGTGTTCACTTCTAATTAGACAAATTGAATGGAGTCTCAAAAGTTGAGTGAGAATATTTTTTGGTAGGGCTGCAGATTGGAACCTTGCAGAACCCTCATGGACAGGCAGAATGAGACTAATCTGCAAAGGCAACGAACTTGCAATCAAGTTGGAAGATAAAAATACTGGAGAATTGTTTGCAAAATGTCCCATTGAAGCATATCCTAGCATTGCTATAGAATCAGTCAATGACTCATCCAGGTAAAAAAAATGTATTTTTCATTGCTCAATGTCTTAGGATCTCTGCTTATGTAGGCATTTATTTGTAACTCCATCATAGAATATTTATTTCTTAAGATCTTTATTTTACCTTTGTAAGAGCTTAAAGCATATCAACACTTATATTAAAAACAGATCTGTAAAAAATTAAACATGTTTTACAGATCTAAGATAACTCATTTGTTTTATACATATAAATAGGAAAATTGCAAATATTTTAGTGTACTCTAACATGTTTCCACATTGCTTTTTTGTTTCTCAAAAATATAATTTGTACTCACTAGAAAGTATTATTTTCAGATATTTTGTCCTCCGTATCATGGATGACAATGGACGAACAGCATTTATAGGTATAGGATTTGGAGATAGATCTGATTCTTTTGATCTGAATGTTGCATTGCAAGACCATTTTAAATGGGTGAAAAAAGAGAAGCAAATCAGTGAGGAACCAGCTAGTGGACCTGCACTGGATCTTGGATTCAAAGAAGGTAAATTGTTTTTTGCCAAAGTACTACTTATTTCAAAAAAGCGTGTTAAATACCAAGTACTGGGTACTAAGTGGATTTGATTAACAGTTTTTTCAGCTACTGTTAGTAATTACTGATAATAAGATTATAATTATGTTTTTGAAATGCCCCTTTAGCCACAAAATTGATTTACCTCTACAAGAAGTTTTTGGGTGCCTGCAAACATTTTTTTAGAGAGGGCTGATCAAATTTACAAAATGCCACAAAAAAGGAAAGTGAACATAAATTTCAAGCATTCCACCTTTTTGCAAAGAAAACCTTTACTCAAATGTACATAAAGATACTTTTGGTTTAGTCCTTTCCAAATTAGGATTGGCATTGCCTACCTTCAACAAACATGTTGGTCGTACCTTTTGAATGACTCACAGATGTGACAAAACGTTAAAAAACAAAGTTTAAGCGTTTTCAATTTTTTTGTTTTTGCCATATATCTGGACCGATTTTCAAAACCTTGAGTAAAAATTTCATCCAAATCCCAGCAGAAATTTCCAAATAATAGACAGACCAAGGATTGCCGGACAGATCCACAGGCAGACGGAAATGAGTGACATGGTTTTACCTACTGTAGATGTCATATAACATCAAAAAATTATCGATTTTTTTTCGCACTTACAATGCTACTGTCAAAAGATACAACTTCTTTGTACCATCCTCATGAAATTTGGTACAGAAGGGTTTCTGGGGTCGCGGATTTCAAATGTGCTGTCAGAAAATCAGACATTCAATATGGCATAATCAGTATGGTGTGGATACTTGAAATAGGCTGATCTTATGATGTTTGATAGGAGATAGGATCATTATAATATAGTACATGCCGAATAAAAAGGATTCTCTAAAAAAAAAAGATTATACTTCAAACATAACAAACAAAAAAATATGATATGATTAAAGGACTTAATTTTATTTGTGACGCTTGCGTCAATTCCTTAGAGCTCGTGCTGGCTTGTAGCTCGAAAGTTTTTAATCTTTTAAATCTTTCCACATACACCCCTGTATATGCAAATTTCGCTTTATGATTGTATCTAACGTTGTCCGTATAAAATCCGTCGTTTCCCTTCATTTCAGAATTACTCAAAGTGAAATACTTTTCGACATCTAAAATAATAATTTTTCCAATGGCAAAGTGTACCCGCCTCAGTTGACGACAGCATTTTGGCATACAAAGGAGTTGCTCTTGAGAGTATTTGGGGCTCTTAAGTCTCTTCTGATATTCAAGACGATTCCTCCTGAATTCCAACGATATCGTACTCTTAGAAGATCTGTGTTGACGCGCCTGTCAATTTAGCAATAAATATCTAGTTGCTCTGGAATATGTCACAGGCTTTTGGCGTCTGTCAAGTCTCTGTTATTCAAATCTGTTTGCTGTGATATCTTTTTCATTATTTAGTTTTTACAATCTTGTTAATAATGGTGAATTATTCAAATGCATAAATGGCGGAAATGCATTACCTATATGGCCTTGCCGACGGTAATGGTGAGCAAACCAGACGGATTTATCACCAGAGATATCCCAGTCGTGCTTTGCCAGATAGTCGAACCTTTTCTAATACTCATGGCCATCTTGTTGAAACTGGTTCTGTCCGAAAAGGAACATCTGAAGGTAGACCTCTAAGTGTGAGAACACCTGAAATTGTGGAAGCAGTGCTGCACGAAGTCGAAGAACATCCTGAAACGAGTACGAGGAAGAACGCTAGACACTTAAATATTTGCCATCAAATTGTTTGGAGAAATTTAGTGGATTTTTTGTTATATCCTTACCATATTTTAAGAGTACAGGCATTACTTCCCATTGATTTTCCAAGACATGCGAACTTTTGTCAGCGGTATCTTCAAAATATTACACAAAATCCGCAATTTGAATCAATGATTCTGTTTCTCGGACGACGCTAATTTATTTCTCGAAATGCCATTCAGAATTTCCGCAATAATCATTTGTGGGCAGAAGAAAATCTCTATGCCGTAACCGAAACCCATTTCCAACACCAATTTTCGGTTAACGTATGGGCAGGAATTATTGGCAACCACTTTATTGGCCCATTCTTCTTGCCGGGGCGACTTGACGGACAGACTTACCTCAATTTTCTTCAACAACAGTTGCCTTTGCTGCTTGATGTTCCGTTAGTAATAAGAAACAATATGTAGTACATGCATGATGGTGCACCAGCGCATTTCAGTGTAGCGGTTCGTAATTATTTACAAACCGTTTATCCAAATCGTTGGATTGGCCGCGGTGGGCCCCAAAAATGGCCACCAAGGTCCCCAGACCTCAACAGTTTAGTTTTCTTTTTGTGGGGCTATCCTTAGACACTAGTGTACACAAGTCTCATTAACACTGTAGAGGAATTAAGAGAAAGAATAGTTGCAGCTTGTGATAGAATAAAAAACACTCCATGGATATTTCAACGAGTGCACAATTTCATGAGAAGGAGGGCGGAAGCATGCATACTAAGTGAAGGGGGCCATTTTTAACAATTTTTATAATCATTTCGTTGGTTTTAACGTTATGTTTATTTTTCCAATTAAATTGATAATAATTTTGCAAGTTAGACAATAGAACGGTTTTTCTTTTTTTACAAAAAAATGGCGCATCGAAGGAAAACAATTCAAGGGAAATCATTTGTTTTAAATTGAACGGGGAACTTAAAGATAATTTTTATGTAGCAAAAAACCATTGGCGTACCATTTTTTTCTTGAAAAATTTCGAAGTCAATACCCGTACGCACGCCACTGTTAAAGCTAAAAATCATTTTTGCATTGAAAAATATGCAACTTTATTAACTTTCACTACGTACTAAATATCAGTGAAATATCTGAAGCGGTTCTGAAACTATTAATTAATTTTCATTTTTTCCTAAAACTTCAACACCCCGAGTTTTTGTAAGGAAACATTTGTGGATCATAGTTTATAAAGCAAAATAACATTAATTTTTCATGTAGACTCACACCCTTAAATATTCGCATATCATTAAGGAACACCCTGTATATCAGAGATGAAATATCTTAGCTTCTGTAGTAGAATCCATATTGAGATATCTTGGATTTTTCAATACACAACCCTGTGGATAATGTAGAACGTTACGGATTTCACCACAAAAAAGTTATACGAATAACTTACGACAAACTTCAAGTTTGACGATCTGTCATAGCGAAGGTAGTGTAAGCAAGGTTTCGTTTTTATGGTCAAATAATTATATTATAAAGTATCAACTTTCAAATACATGGTGGATACTGGTTTCGAACGCCGTGGAACGCGTGTCGAGCAAAAACAGAAAAACCGTAGACGAAAGGCAAACCTGGAGCAGACAAACAACCAAGTGGTGTGGTAAAAATACTTATCAATTTCTGTGTGTTAGTAACCCTATCCCCTTCTTGGTGAGTCAAAACCCATTTTTTGTATATACTTTTTCCCAAACATACTATTTTGTGTACTACCTATCACAAAAAAAGAAAAAAGGGGAACGCATAAAAGTGTAGAGGCATGGAAACGGACTCTAGGGGGGAGTCACCCTCCCGAACTAGTGCTGTAGATAATAGAAACCTTACACAAGCAGAGCTAGAAAATATAATAGTTTTTGTCGAAGCAATGGAAGGCACTGGGATTCAAGTAGGTCAAAGAAGGTATCTACAGCTAGCAAAAGATATATTTCAATTAAATTTAACCAACATTAAACGCATACAAGTCAAGGGAAGGAATAGGCTGGGAGTAGAGTTCCTGAATTACAAGTCAGCAAACTCTTTTGCAAATAAAGAACTCAATGGGTACAATATATATATATATATATATATATATATATTGTACATATATATATATATATATATATATATATATATATATGTACCATTCAACAAAGTAACATGCAAGGGAATCATAAGACAAGTAGATACAAGCTTCACAATTGAAGAGATCATTAGGGCTATCGAATATATAATGAAAGTGTTAGATGCAAAAAGGCTCAATAGAAAAACCATAGTAGACGGCATTACAAAATACACGCCCACTGGTACTATACTAATAACATTTCAAGGCACAGTACGTCCTACAGATGTTTCTATTTACTATCTTCTCTTTCCCGTATTTATATATATACCACCTGTCACTCAATGTTACTCTTGTCTCAATTATGGTCACACTAAGACCCAGTGCAAGGGAAAAAGAATATGCTTTAATTGCAGTAATCCTGAACATAATGAAGAGGGGGGAGTACTTTCACTGTCAAAGAAAATGTTATCATTGCGATAGGCTGGAACACAGATCCAATTCGAAAGACTGCCCAGAGTACAAGAGGCAGGAAAAGATAAAACAACTAGTATTTGAAAATATTTCATATTTTGAGGCAAACGAGCTGTGCCCTAAAACGTATAAATCGCAAAGTAATATGATAAACACAACCGACATAGCTTACAATAATAGAAATATCACATCAGTCAGAAACCAGAATACACCTTCTACCTCCGGAATAAGTCAAATAAATATAGCACAAAGAAGAACATTTGAATTCTCGAATACAATAAAAACAAAAAGAACCTTTCAACAAGCATTATCACAAACACCAAAAAAAAGAATATTTGAACATAACACCGGATACAATAGAGAAAGTCACAATGAGAACCTAATAAACAGAAACGGTAGACAACGAAACAGTAACGGACCAATACCAGTACAAGCACAAGTGCACAATAACGCTTCAAACACAGAAGCACCATTCAACACGCCTAAGACGACTACTAGTGCCCTTTACAGAAATAACACTAAAGAACAAGTAGATGAAACCATTGAAAACTTAAAATATCTGAAACCCTAAGTAAAATTAAACAAATAGTACTTAATGATACAGACCAGACTGACAACGAATTTTACTGAAAAAGTAAAAAATGTTACATAGCCTAGTCTCAGTAGTACAAAACAGACACAACTGCAAAATGAACAGCAAAGGCACTTCCACTTTACAGTGGAATCTAAG